GGTAGATGAACTGGTATAGGTACAATGTGGTAGAACAGTCTGATCTACGAGTCTGGTAGATGAACTGGTATAGGTACAATGTGCTAGGACAGTCTGACCTACGAGTCTGGTAGATGAACTGGTATAGGTACAATGTGCTAGGACAGTCTGACCTACGAGTCTGGTAGATGAACTGGTATAGGCGTGGCAGGAATTTCTTACGATATACACATATCACATTTCCATTTTGAAACTTATAGTTCCTGTTTCTTCAAACTCATGACTTAGTTAACAAATCTTTAATGAGGATACATTTATCTATTTTACAAGTGAGCTACTGACTTTATGCTGTAGCTGTCTTCAAGTTGAATAAAGGTTTGAAATGTACCTAAATATTAAGGTAAATAACCTTACTAGATTAAAAACATGTGATCGATTCTGACGTGAAGTTTTTTATCAACTTTACAGAACTTTTCTTACAACAATGGGAAACATAATTTTATAAGTAGTTAAGTTAAATTAATAAACACAATGATAAATCCTGGAATGTTATACAGGAAATGAGGTTGTTTTGATATATCTCTAGTAACTTTTTGCATCAATGGAAATAAACTGTTGACAAGTAAAAATCTAGCAAGAGAAACACAATATATACGAGTACCATCTTTCTATTCAGAGACTCTGATTTTCCACTTTATCATTTACTGTCTAGCAAAAAAAAAACATTGCTAATCTCTCACTCTTGGTTCACTTAAATATCTACCAGAAATTCTTTTACAAAATGGTTAAAATATTATTTACATGCAGTTATGGTTTATACTAAAATAGTTTAAACAGTATAGCCAAGATCCAAATTTGAACATAAAGCCATAAACCCATTCTGAAATGTTCTGCACTACTATAAGTCCACTCTGAGATTTGATATATTGAAATAAACTCATTCTGAAAGTTGTTGTATCGTGGACTGTTTCTCTGTTGCCATAAGGTCTCTTTCTACATCTTGCTGAATAATGGGCCATAAACATTACTATTTAGTTCAAAATTACATTTAAGTCAGTGTAATTAAAAACTGTTATCTTAGACAAGCACCTCGTGATACTTTTACATCCCATGACACATTGTCTTTAATTGTATAAAACCATGCCTACAGAGTTCTGTGTAAAAATTGATTATCTGTTCTTGTTATCAAGGTACAAATAAATACATAAAACCAATACAAAATGTCACTTTCTGTATATTATGACACATTTGAATCACAAACTTTCCTAGCAGTAAACCAAACTTATCAGAATCGACATTAACTTAGCAGCAGACTCATTCAAATGTAAATATATAATCAACAAGAACAAATCTATAATCATCTGGCCTAAAATTTAAGTGCACCATCAATGTGGATGCCGTTCTTCCTGATTAAGGTTAATACCTCTGAAATTCAGAAAAAACTCATACAGAGAATTACAGAACTGAATCAGATACATGAACGATAATACACTTTATTAATATACTACAACAGTCACTTATAGTAACACACACACAGCAGCCGTGTTTTCAAAAGGTTGGATCTATTATCTCTTAAACTGGGGAAGTGTCAACACTGTAGCAATGATAGTTAGCTGGACACAGAAACGTTTAATATTAGTTAACCCCTTGTAAGGTGAAAACGGTGAAAATCTTTAGGCCCACATAAAAAAACAACAACAGCAGATTCTTTTTCTGGAAACCAGCAAATCCATAAAGATATCAGCCAGGTGGCAACCCTATTCTCGATTGCTTAAACATCTATTTTTTAAACTGGTTTTTCTATACCAATTCTTTTTGCACTTGTTTCTGAACATTAATGGTACGATCAGGTACACAAAATGAAACAAATATTTTCTCTTTCGTAAAAAACAATTTCTGTGAGCCATATGGCCACTGATCGATTAAAAAAATCCCTACTTGCATCAACCGCTTTTCTTCACTGAATTGTTTAAGCCGTTCCTCAATTTTAAGTCCTCTATTTTCCTTCCGCTTGATAGAAATGTTTCGAACAGGTAAACGCTTCGGTGCTTGACCTTGTGGCAAGTTTTTACTGCAGGATTCTTCAGCAGAATTAGACATACTTTAATCATCAACAATACAAGTGAAATGTGTGTTTTAAAGAACTAAACAGCACAAAGTCTAAACATAATTGGGTGTGACAGTCAGACTTCCTGTTCCTTTAGTTTCCTCTGATGCCGTAACATCACATCCTTTATGTGTATCCTGTATTTTTTTAGTAATGAGAGCTGGGCGTCCACTCCAGGATATAAAGAAGCTGGAGTGTATACTCAATATGTGATTCTTGAAGCAAAGCAGTCATAAATATTTGTCCAAGCTCTCCAGGTACTAGAGAGCATTTATTTTTTCCCTTAGCATCCATTCCTCTTTCACCAAATCTATTATTCTAAAATGTTCAAGAGCACTTTCAATTCTCATTGTTACACATTTTCAAGGTCATGCACTAAATAAATTCACCAGTTGCTCTAATTCTTACAATCACAATGGGTCAAATTAAAACTGGATGTGTACCTACAGCTAAAATGAAGAGATAGAATCCTATAAAAATGTATGTATATATTAATAAAATATTTATGATAGTTTATACATGAATATGATAACTGGAATTAAATATATAAATGTATTTTTTTAAACCAATTATTTAGTACTCAAGTTTCTAGTAAAGCCGTCAAATACAAAGTTAAATACCTACACAGATTTGTAACTTGTAAGTTGCATAGCTAAAAAGTACAATGTTTTATTGTAAAAGCAAGTGTTCACTTCTAATGTCTATACTGTGGGAGAATTTTTATAAATGTAATTTGTACCTTGTATTTTTGTCTTGGAGCACAGAAATACATTAAAGTTGAGTGTCAAGGCACAAACAGTTATTTACTAGAAAAGTATACAACATATACATTACAAATCCATTTCAAAGCAATGTTTTCTTAAAGTTAAAAACTTTATCTGGAATAATATCAAAATGTGGAATAAAATAAAACCTCAAAAACTTTAAATTATAGGCCAAGAACTTTGGTTACATTCCAATTTACAACTTAATATAATAATCCTTTGTAAATTGTAGGCTTTGACTCTTTTAAAGTATCATTCAATATTTTGTCAAAATAAAAAACAAAAACTGAAATTTTTACTACTTTATTTAAACTTGGAAAACGGAAACAAGGTAATTTATTACATAAAAAAACTGGTCAAGCTCAATATAATTACGAATAACATTATAAACATTATTTGAAGCCCGAAACTGTGTTAACTTTTAAAAAATTCTTTAACTATAAACAGATAGTTTACAAAATCAAAGTCATGGCCTGAACGTTGGCCCTATTACTGCTCCATAAATTCTGCAGAAATCTTTAGTGCTACTCTTTGAGTTTGACTTCATTTAATGCAGTTCTCTCTCACCCTGCAGTAAATATGTCGTTATTCACTCAGTCTCGGTCCGTAGAATATTATAAAGTTCTATCAATTCAAATTTCCTGCACCTAAATCACAACAGAACTAATTAATTTTATATCTAAAACACCACTAATTTTCGAACAGTGCACATATGTAGTGACATCTGCCAACTAGGCTGAACATTACATTGTTGCTATTAGAGGTATTTAAATATCAGTTTATCTATATAAGTGGATCGCTCGCTTCACTACGTAAAATGTTTTAATTACGTCCAAAGGGAATAGAAAAAAATCGTTTGTAATACAGAAGTTTTTGGACAAAGGCGGAGAGAGCGAATGTGAAAAAAGTGAAAGATTAGGCCTGATATTTACCTATTGTTTGTTGTTTATTTATTTATTTATTAAGTACATCTATATTACAGAGACCCAAACTCAGAACGAGTTTTGTTTGATTTCTCGATAAAAGATGTAAAACAAGGGACGGCAGTTAATCACAGGAATGCGCTTGGCTTTTATTGATATATATTTAGAAATAATTAAAATAAACTTAGTTACATATAACAAGGCATCTACTATTACCAATAATTACGAAGGAACTTTTTTGGCCAAAACTATAATTTTGAATCAATCATTTTATTAATCTTATCTGTGCTACAAATAATCAGCCATGTTAAAATTTAATGAGTGAATATTATAAACACATCTTTCCATTATATTATAAAAGGCTCGGGCACTCGTCTGGTGGTTAGGGAACTCTTCTGGCAAACTGCGGGTCGCAGGTTCTAATCCCTGTCTCACCAAACGTACTCGCTCTTTCAGCCGTGGAGACGTTATAATGTACGATCAGTCTCACTATTCGTTGGTAAAAGATAAGTCCAAGAGTTTGCGGTTGGTGGTGGTGACTAGCTTCCTTACCTCTAGTCTTTCACTTGTACTTTACGGACTGCTAGCGTAGATAGCTCTTGAGTATATATGCGCGAAATTCAAACCGATCCTATTATTATTAATTTTTTGTTGTTGGTGTAAGAGCGTGGCGCCATCTATGAAAGTAGTTAACGTTTACTTACATCAAAGATAATAAATGCTCAATAACAGTAATAATAGGTGTGGAGGAATTGTGGCCCCCAATAATATGCCCCTTGTTCCAAACTATCATTTCACAAAGTTTGGTTGCGATTAGCCCAGCGACCAAGTTTTTATTTATTTGATTAATATTACAGACTTATTATTACTAGGGTCTGAAATTCGCGTCATTTAGTCGACCATAACCAACTTGGAGGCTCGTGAGCTAACGAGAATAGTTACAAAAATATTTTAATCCGATTATAATTTTAAGCATTTTTCTTATTCTCCCTTGTCATTAAATAGTTTTGTCATCGTCTCGTGAAAGTTTCTTCTTTATTTCAGTCTCCCAAATACAGCCTCCCGTTTTCTGGGGATTCTTGGTTTATTTTTAAACATCGTGGGAAATCCCTATGACGTCAGAGATGAAAACGTTCCTGGAACATGTGAATGACAGGATCGATGCAAACGAAGTGTGACGAATGTCAACATCTCAATGGTTAGTATTAAAATAGTACTCTCAAATCACGTTATTTAATTATGTGTTTATCTGCATTAATATAAAGATTAATTAGCTTATGTACATTTCAAGAGTGATATAATCAAAACCTCTTGTTTCAGATTGAAGTTTTACTTAGTGCTACACATATGCACGTACATATTTATTATTCAAATCAATGTGAATAGTTGTTATTAAGAGCAAAGTTACACAAAGGGCTATTAGTGCTCTGCCCACCAGGGGTATCGGTTTTTAGCGGTATAAATCCGCAGACATGAAGCACCAATTGGAAAAACTTGAATGGGTAATGAAGAAAAACTTTAATATAAGTTTACCCATTCAAGCCGTCTCCAGCCATTATTAGTCTCAAAGTGGGTTCCTCGTCATCGAAAATGTTCAGTGTTGGATTTTTATGCCGCGACCCATAAATTGCAAGACGAGCACCATAACTACCAGGCCCTTTTATATAAATATATATATATATATACACACATATTACACAAAACCGTTCATAAAACATTAAGAAATAAATGATTGAACAATGAAAAAAAAACTGTTGTATAATGCTTGAGGTGATATCGATTAACATTCTATTAACGGTTCTTTTATTACAGTTAAATATTAAAATATTACGAAACATGGGATTTTTAGTTAAAATTTTATTTAAAATATTAATTCAATGTCCATTATAACATGGAACTATTTTATCATGAATGTTAAGCGTTTTTTTTTTGTTTTTTTTTTCACTAGGCGAGAAAAGTCCAATTTGCATAAATAGGCGTAGTTTCAACCAATACGTCAGAATAAACTGTGGAACGTCGAAATACAACTAGTGTTGCCAAGACCACTTAACTAAAAAAAAAAAAAAAAAGGTAAGGTAGTGGTCGTTGTTTTATTTAATAGTCGTCTATAATATTGAGTAGTAGGTTAGGTTAGTTTTTTTTTTTTTGGTTTGTTTTATTCTGAACTCGTTTATTTGGGCTTTTGTTTTTGTAGAAGCTAACTTCAACACATAATAAAATGGTTGTAGGGGTGGTTTCGGTGATTGACCGGGTTAATAAATAGCCTACACATCGTTACAATTTTTGAATCATCCTATCCCCCCACTCCTGTTCAATTAAAAGAAAACACACAATCGTGAACTTTCTGGTAAGCCCACTTGAAGTCCATATCGCCATTTTGAGGATAAGCCATAAAAGATCAGTTTTAAAAGTAAGTACCGTTTGTTTTGCGCTTATTTCGAACGTTAGTGCCACATATTTTTCTCGCGAGACTTGGCAACACTGTTTGCTACTTATGAAATATGCAACAAAGTCTACAGAAGCGCAGAATAATAAAAAAAATAATAAGCAGAGGGTATGGTCATAACATAAACCTTATGTAACTTGATTTTCACACAGTACACCAGGCAGAATCTTTTTAATTAATCATTGATTAAAATGTTAAGTTTAGCAATTTCCTTTGAAATTGCGTACAAGAATTCAGTTTAAGCCCCAAAAGTGAGCACTGTCGTCATGTTAATTAGAAACAACCTAAATATGTTAATTTATTACTTTCGTCCTACTCAGGCTACAGTTCATTTCATATCAAAAATTTCTCAATTCAGTGTGTCCGTTTACCTTGCTGTTTTTATAATTCGGGAAAGAAATGGGGTAGGTGGGTGCTTGTTCACTGATTTATTATTTAAAAATCCGATTATAATAGAGGGCTAGACCTGAATCCTAACGTTCAAATTTACGCTGTTACTGGTAATATCAATATTAAAGTCTAACACAATACTAGGCCTGTGGGCCTACTCCAATCTAAAACTCGTAACAGTGACACACATTTTTAACACCGTTGCTTTTGCATTGGTTCTGTAATTTTTTACAATTAAACATACTGTTACGTCTTTCATACGGAGATAAGTGTTGGGTTTCACAGTAGTACATTTTCATGTTTTGAGTTTGAGCGTAAACGGTGCTAAATAAAGACTAAAGTGTAAGTGCAACCTTTCACATGTATGATGTATAGCTGTAACTCCACCTATTTATGCAAATTGACTTGTTTCGCCTAATAAAAAAATCACGCGAGCGTTAAAGTAGTACCAGGCTTAATCAAATCGTCATATTATCACGGGCGTTAAAGTACTACAAGATTTAACAAAACCATCATTTTATCATGATCGTCAAAGTAGTACAAGGTTTAGTAACAACGTCATAAAACATTTTTAAACGCGAGATTTTAGAAATAATTTCAAAGTCAAAACTCAATTGTTTTTGTTTTAATATTGAAACAACTAATAATAGATTCTTTTAGTTGTTATTCGCGCAATAGGTAATTCGTATAATATACGATGAAAAACAGTAGTTAGAAGCGGGTGTAAGGATTGAGGCCGAGTTCCTAAAGAATCCTTCCACAAAAACACCCTTTTTTATTATTTTGCACCAGTACTCTTATCATCATAATAAAAACTGTAGTATTTAATCAGTTCTTGAATCTGCGGAATAACTTTATAAACATCCATTGCACTTGAACGAAAATTTGCATCAATTTATTCAATCCCTTAATTCTAACTCTGATATTTAGATCAACGTAAACCAACTTTTGAATTAGATTTTCTATTTACAGCGCAATATCCAAGCGATTAAGTTCCAGAGTATACATGATTTCTATAAGTCTGATACATAAACTTTTAAGTACGATAATAAAAATGAGATTATAGGCAGCATGGACTCAGGTAAAATTGAACATTGAAAATATTTGTTCATGGGTCACACATACAGTACTAAGCCGAAATTAACCTCATATTGGAAACAACTAATACAAACCCCCCAAAAAAAGTATAAAAACAGAAGAAGCTTAATTTATTTTTAATATATTTTTCTTCTTAGGTTTCAGTTTTTCTTTAAAATAATTCTCACGTTCAAATATCAACCAATGATTATGTTGAACATAAAATTTATATTTTAAAATATAAAGGCTTACATTTTATTTTTAACACATCACCAACTTATAAATCTACGTGCTATATTATTCTTTGAAACACAGCAATAAATAATTTCTTTTTATGAAAGATTCTAAAAACTTATATAGTTTAAAAGAGATTGATTTATTATTATTATTTATTAAACTTAAATTATATATATATGTGTGTGTGTAGAATTTGTTGGACAAATTTGTTTTGTGTACCAATCTTGGTCATTAATTATATTATTATAATATTTTTAAAATCAGGTTTTCTCATTCTATCACAACAACCAGAGGGACACTTGCTTGCATTCTTATTATGTATTTAATTACTGCAGGTTTTGCGTGACAAAATAATAAATGTTTGTGTGTGCGTGCAAGCTTGAATTAACCAAAAGGCATTCTGTCTTTTATGAACATATTCCGTTGTACTACATTTTATTCTTATTTTTTTCCATACATAACGTTTTGTTCGAGAGAAGCATTTTATTTGAACTGTTTGGTTGTTGGGGTTAACTGTTTCATAGCTTAGCTTTTTGAGTATTCAGGTTTAATACATTGTTCAACATTGATAATACTAATAGGGCTCATGATGCCAGTTTTTTTTTAATTCATAATATTGCCAAAAATTTAAGTAGTTATTTATTCTCTGATAGCTTTGCAGTACATATACTTTTTATACAGCTGTTTTCCTGAATTAGAGTGAAAACAGTCACTTTTTTTACGTAATTCTTTCCATAAAAAGTTCAATGTCGTCGTCACGAGCACAAAGATGTACGAGTTCCATAATAACATTAACTTTTACATGTGGAGGCAAGTCTATTCCTATTAATCTCCTATCATTTATAAAACGAAGCTTATATTTTACATTTTAAAACTTGTGTATGTTTGTTGTCGTCTGCAGAGCCATGTCGTTACTATGTGAATTGTGATGATAAAAATCAGATTATATCCATCCACCCGTTTATTACTGTCTGTACGTCTATCTTCTTCTGAAGTAATCCTAAACCTACCCATTTTTTTCAGTTGGATACGGACCGATCGATAAGCTAAATTCGAGACCGTCTGATTCGTTCGCCCTAGTCAGTCGCCACCAGGAGTCATAGCACGATCTTGTGACGTGACGAGCTTGGGGTTTCGGCTTTTATTACAAGACAACTGAGTCTCGCAAAGAAACAATACTCATGGCCTGGTAGCTTTGCCACTTTGGTTTTTAACGTTATTTGTAAATTGTGAAGTGTTTATTTGATATTCTTCGGTGATAATATTGCTAAAATTTATATAATAACAAAATGGTGGGCACTGTGTTAATGATAGACAAGGTGAAGAGTTCCATTCTCCAGTGTTTTTGTAGGGCGTGTCATGCTAGGGTTGTCGGTAAGACTTCATTCAATATATTTTTATTTCAATAGTTATTAAAGAAGCCGAAACCTAATTATATATGTAAATCCATATAATTTTTAGCAAGAAAATGAAATATAATACAATCTGTAAAAAAAAAAAAGACAAAACAACGAACGAAGAAGTTGTAGGTTTTTAATTAAATGAACTCCTTTTTGAGACATTTTTAATAATGGTAAGTAGCAGTATGTGTATTGTCTTAAACACTAGTTCTGCTTAAACAGATGAAAGGTTTGATCTTTTCATTAAAAACTCCTAGAAGTTCACTTTTATTGCACGTCAGTAACACATGTCAGTTCACAAAGTGTAATTTTGCATAATTATGCAATTGCCGAACAAAAACTAATATTTGATCTATTATTAAAAAAGTAACAAATTTTTCTTTTCTTAACATACACTTGTATCGAACCAAAGTACTTACAATTTTTTGCAAACAAAAATAACATTGGGAATAAGTAATAAACTATTCTGTGAAATCATATTTAAGAAATATTTGTGGATATACTTTTTTGTATTTTCCATTATAAGATACCACGAAAAGAAGTTAGAGAAAGATTTAACATGTTCTTTGTCTTGCAGAGAAACCACACCCAAGTCTGTCGACTCAGATGATAACTAATATGCAACCAAAAAAAATGGTATATCTAGGTAAGAATAGAGTGATAGTTAGGCTTATGTAATTATATATTTATTTTTACTGTATTAATTATTGTTATATTTCGATCTAAAAATATCTTCTCTCTCACTCTTTTTTTTTTTTTTTGGCGCACTAGAAACCGTTGATTTTATTTCGTACTGAGCAGTTCTAGTGCGCATCATGCAGTGACGCAATGACGAACTGGACGCTCTCGCATAACTGACTGTTAATAGTAAAATCTAAGATGTATATATACTGTATATATGTATGTGTATCAATTTGAAATTGAGACGCACACAATAAGTGTTAAAACACCCTGCTAGCTCATGAGTTTTGGTATTTAACGAAAACCCTCCTGGACAGAGAGGCTTGTAACAGATAAAAAGACAGATCTGAAATGCTATTTTTACGCACCACTGTTTTAAAAATCTGTAATAGACATATAAAAAAAAGGTAAGTAAAAACCATCTACAGTTTAATGTGATTTGTATTACGATTGTCCCCCCCGGGTGGGAAAGCGGTAAGTTTACGTACTTACAATACTAAAATCCGGGGTTTGATTCTCCACAGTGGACACAGCAGATAGCTTTGCTCTAATGCACAAACAAGCATTACAATTATTAGGCCTATTGGTTACCAATGTTTCAACTTTTGACAATCAAATCCGTCTTTTTTGTACACATTTGTGGAAAATTGAATTATGCAACAATACGGCATGTATGAAACATTAATAGCATTTTGTAGTGTTGTAACTAAAACTAGTGTTACGTCTCCGTTTGTTAATTGATTTTTCGGTAACTTCGTTCCGACGAAACTTTAACGACACAAGTCCTTACTTAATAAAACTGGTTTATTCTTTCCGAATATAACTTTACGATACACTTATTTTCAACAGTCGCTCTTTTACAAACGTTTTAACAACGAACGTTAACTTCAACAATACGTCTTACTCTGACTGCAGTTCAATTACTCACACATTACATTACCGTCACGTTGTCACCCTCTTTTATATACCAGACTACCCTATATCTAGTAAATGCTAGAGCATTCGTCAAAGTACAGGATAGTTCTAGAAAGTAGAGGGCGTGAGAATAGTCACGTGATCTCGATGACGCAACACTAGCTTATTACAACATTGTATAATGATTGATTTAACTAAATAAGACCACCATGTAATGCAACTGTTTTCCGAGTATTTATTTGTTTGTTGTCAAGCACAAAGTTACACAATGGGCTATCTGTGCTGTGTCCACCACTGGTATAGAAATTCGATTTTTAGCGCTATAACCCTTCAGACTTATCGCTGAGCCACCGGGGGGGGGGGGAGGTGGTCCAAGTATTTATATTATGACAAGTAATTGCTGAATGAACGTTCAAATGTCATATTAGAGCTATAACTTTGGTGCATAGCAAAATCTATTTTAAGAATTGTATAATAACTGATTCTTAGATAATAACCTGTGTATAATGAGATAAAAAACGATATAGAGAGATTGTTAAATAACCATGTGCGTAAATTAAATTTCAGTGAGCCATTTGTTAATTAAATATTTTGGAAAATAGTCACTATAAAAAAACTGATATTGTGAACAATTTTGTTTTACAGACGCATCTGTTGCATGCCCTTTACGCGATTTTCTTGAGAATTGTTTGTTTGTAATTAAGCACAAAGCTACACAATGGGTCATCTGTGCTTTGCCCACAACGGGTATCGAAACCCGGATTCTAGCGTTGTAAGTCGAACCTTATGGAATTTTGTCAGAAAATTCGCCCAATCTCAATTTCTGCCTGGCAATATACTAATTAAAACCAAATAGTTTCTTTATAAGTTCCACAATATTATTTAAAAAAGAACACAGTTGCATTTTCACGCTGTGTTAACAAAATCACCACAAAAATAAAACTCCTAGATATAGTTTTGATCATACTTAGGGAGTTGTCATTACTTATAGAAGGGTGGGGTAGTGAAAATAAGAACGAGCCATGATTTTAGATATTGCATTTTGCGATAAACTTTAGTTTTGGTCTTATTGCGAATGAGCCTCTTGTTAAATAAAATATCAGTTCTTTTTTTACTTGTATTTGGCATGTTTGTTCATAATGGCTATTTGTGTTCTATAAATAAATAAATAAATAAATAAATAAATATGTGTGTGTGTGTATATATTTGATGGCCGTGGCTTCAGGGAAATAACAATCCATATTTGGGTGCATCTGGTCAGTTAGGATTGTCAAATATTCATTAGCAGAGCTATGTTCATTCAAACGAGCCAGAGGTACATAGCCCATGTCTTGTAAATGAGCCCCGCATCATTATACCACCTCCAGAACTGTCAGGTTTTGAATATGGGCTGGGATTCTTTGCAGTAGGTGTCTGTGACTTGTTGGCGATAAATTGGAACAATAAACGAACAGCACACAATCCACTTGTTTTAAAATAATATATTCAAAACAAGTCAAACTTATCTACAGAAAATTATTTACACTATAGGATAGCACATCTGTATCTAAAACTTTAAATAATTATATTTTCTTCTCAAAAGTCCACACAGGATGGTTCAGTTACTTTAGATCCCAATTGACAAGATGGATTATTTTTCTCTACTCTGTTTCTTACTGCACAATCTACGATAAATTCATTACGTCATCCCATGGGTTATCACAGTTGTATCCAGAACTATAAATAATTGTCTTCTTTTCGTCAAAGTCCACACAGGTTTAATTACTTTATAACACTCATTAACAAGACTAATTATTCTCCTTACCTCAGTTAAACTTTTTTTTAAATATCGATCGTTACGGCTAAACTAACAATCACACAGTCTGACTTCACTTCTTCTGATTTAACTTTTTTACTAACTCATCTAGAAATCGCCCCTAACGACTAAATTGTCAATCACCAAGTCTAGGTCTTTCTAATTATCTTTCACTTAACTTGCTTTCTTCTTTTCTACACTGTTGGATGCCTATTTATAAATATTGCGACTGAGGTCTAGAACTTTCTAGCCCCCAGTGACAACAGTATTACACATAACGAGAAGCTTCGAGTAAGATGACGTCAACAATATTACGAAAGCCTAGTACAACAGTTAAACTACATACACAACGTACAGAGTAATGTAACGAAACTTGTAATAATTATAGCCTTTAAAATAATTACTTTTAACACTCTTGTCATGAAATCTGAATAAGAATTCTTACACTAAACAGTCTTGTATATGACTAACAAGAACCTTGTACAGAGAAGACTGTGGAGAATGGGTTCATGATTTCAATGGGTTATCACCACACTCTAGCCTTACCATCATGTGAAATGTGGTTCATCTGACCACAGTATATATTTTGTTGGTCAACGATCCAATCCAGATGACCTAGGCACCACAGAAGACGTTTTTTTTATTCAGTGTTGGCTGAGATAAGTAGTTTATGTTAGGCACAGGCTTACCAAAGTTTATTTTGTGGAGCTCCCTAGACATTGTTTAGTTGTTCTGATGAAACGGATGTTACCCATCAATTCATGCAGTTAAATGTCTGATAGCCCAAACATTTCTCAGTATTTGTCTCCTGTCTCTTTTTACATGGCAAAAAAAAGTAGATATGAGAACACCAAGGTCATGTCCTCGGTTCTTTTTGTCTTTCCTCCCAACTCTCTCTCTCACTCATATACACAATTAGAAGTTATAGGTTGGAACCCAAGTTTGAATCTCGTTATGGCAGTGCCTTTTTTGATAGTTCTTTCTTTTTGGGCACAGTTTTTCTTATTAGATGAAGATTTGTGATATAATAACTATGAAATGTAGACTCCGTCTTTGATTTTCATAAAATTGAGCATCTGTTTTTATAGACTCCTGGTGGGTATTTTTTTAGGTACTTTGTATAAACATCAAGTGAGGATTGGTCTATTCTAGATGTAGGGGTTTCTGATATTTTGGTCAGTGATTGTAATAGGTAGTCATATGTCCATGAAATAATTTAAATTAATAGGTTAACTTAAACTTTTTCCGTCACTGGGGACGGGTAGTTTTGCTTGTGGTAGATAAGTAAGGTTTACGACTTAGGACTTGCAAAACAAGCCCATTATACTTCATGGGAGTGAGGTGTAGATTGCAAGTCTACATGTACGTTTCAGCACATTGAAAAGTCTTTCATAACTTCAAACACTTTGCAAAAGTTGAAATGTACAGTTTACTACAACACAACATATATATATATAGGTAAATGAATAGCAGTTTCGAGTTTTGTATGTATGTATTTATCTATCTGTGTGTATGTAAAGACAGAGTTGATCTATTTGCTTATTGTTAAGCACAAAGCTTCATAATGGGCTGTCTGTGCTGTGCCCACTGCGAGTATCGAAAACAGATTTTTTAGCATAATAAGCTCTCAGACGTACGCCTGAGTCACCAGAAACACTTACAAAATATGCTTCCTTGAAAATCTTAATATTGTTGTGTTCTCTCAAAAATAATGTAATAATATATATATATATATATATATATATA